AGTCCTCCGAACATGAAGTGCTTTGTACATTTTGGCTTCGAAAATCGCTTCGCGCCACACCGGCGCGCAATTTTTCATCCCTCATCTGGCCAAATGGCTCTGCACCCGCCGCTTTAGCGAGCCTACTTTTCGACCCTCCGGAGCCACAAATCATTGGAAAAACACAGTGAATCTCGACTTTTCTACCTTTTCGCACACCTGCATCTTCTTTCTTCTGACTCTTTCTCTTCTCTGATCTTCTTTCTTCTTCTCTCTTCTTCTCTTCTCTTCTCTGGCTCTTCCGACCTCTTCTTTTTCATCTGCATATTGTCGGAAGTTTGACTTCTAAACTTCCTTCGAAAATAGAGAGAGGGAGAGAGAAAAAAAAGAAAGTAATATCTATCTATCTATCTGTCTATCTATCTATCTATCTAGCTAGCTAGCTATCTATCTATATTATGGTATGTGCGTGTGTGCGTGTGTGCGTGTGCGTGTGCGTGTGCGTGTGCGTGTGGGCGTGTGGGCGTGTGGGCGTGTGGGCGTGTGGGTGTGTGTGTGTGCGCGTGCGTGTGCGTGTGCGTTTTCCCCCAGGAATTGTCATGAACTGCGTATCCTGAAAGGATGAAAGGTCGATTGCCCTGAGATTGCGGCCAGCTGCTTGGACACAATGCCCAGAGACCACTTGAATCCTTCTAGTGCAACCGAATCCTCCTGAGGCAAATCAAGATCTCTAAGATCTCTATAGATCTCTAGGTAGACGGGTTATATATATAATTATATGTATATAATTATGTATCTGTGTACTTCTTAGAGATCTCTCTAAAAAATCCAAAATGCCACAAGATCTCAAAGAAGTACAGTAACAAATCAAGAACCACACACCAATTATATACAGTATATTCCAATTATCCCATCCAATCAGATGCTCTTCATTGCTTCACACTTCACTCCTATCCTTTGATCATCTTGATCCAGTTACTGTATCAAATGTCATTGGCCAAGGAACCGTGGCTTCACGAATTACATCTACGCAAGCATTGACCTCGGCCACCGTTGCCAGCTGGACTCCAGCCAAAATCAGCGTCAGCGTCGCACTGAGATGCACTGAGATGCACTGAGATGCACTGAGATGCACTGAGATGCACTGAGATGCACTGAGATGCACTGAGATGCACTGAGATGCACTGAGATGCACTGAGGTATTGGCGAATGGCGCAAACATGTCCGTTGGCACTCCGTAGCCCACATGTCGCAGGCCCAGCGCCGACAAGTCATCGATGATCTCAGGGCCCAGCGGTTTCAATGGGACACATAGGCTAGGTCCTAGCTAGGTCACATATTGAAAAATGGAAAAACATCAGGTGACCATAGGTGACCCATCAAAATCTGGTCACCCTTAACAACTTCTGTGCAGAACCGCTGGATCATTTTACCAGTCCGGCCTGCCATGGCTCGCTGTAAATGTCCTGAGAAAAGCTGAAGACCTGCCAGGTGGGACTAATTTTGAACTAAACTGGGTGCAGGTCATTGGTGCATGTGGCCCAGCTGAATTTCAAACCACCTTGCAGCATTCTGGGCATCCCAAGTGAGCTCAAGTGGCATTCTGGGCATCCCAAGTGCTCTCAGCATCCATCTGAAGAACAAGAATTGGTCTATATATTGGTGCCTTGCTCTGAGCCTGTTGCCTCTCGCCTTCTCAACGATGAAGTGCAAGCGTGTGTCAGATTGTTTGAAATACTCCTGACCCGCTGGAGTAGACTCGAAGAATCCTTAGGCAGCTAGAGAAGTCAAATGCCTGCTCTGGATTTGTTTCATCTTTTTCCATGGGATTCCTGAGGAATCGATGTCGTGATTTCTCAAAATTGCCAACCCTTCAGCTCGAACGTCCAAAGGATACAAAAAATGCAACATATCAATGCCCCTCTTTCTTGAATACAGAGATCGGAAAAAATGGAAAAAAGGGAGAGAGAGAGAGAGAGGGAGGAGAGACAGAGAGAGAGAGAGAGACCGAGACCGAGACCGAGAGCGAGGTGTGTGATACGCCTTATACACTTCCATATACAATCATATGCATTTACAGTCTATAGTCAATATATCCTGGTCCACTACTGAACGGAAAGGCTACGCAACGTTTCTTGACCTTTTTTCTGTACCCAGCCCTTGCAGCTTTGCATCGATCATAGATGGAAGCCCGGAGCTTGTAGCCTTGGCATCAAATTTGGTTAACACCACCGCCGACTGCACAGCTCGGGCACACTGGGGCTGCCCAACGGTGTTCTTCTGGTAAGGAGGAGAAGAATTTGACCACAGCAACCTGATCAAACACCAGGCCTTTTGCCTATGGCGGCCTGCGGTCTAGCAAAGATCATCGTCACATGATGTGTTGCTGTGAGAAGTTTCACTCTGAGATCTGAGATGGGCCTCCCATTGGTAGGATGCCCCTAAAGTTTTCACCTGGGCCGCGGCAGGCAGGTCTCTGCACTCAGTGGCGGTGTTACTGAAGTCCTTGCGCATAGTACTCAGGCACCCAGGTCTTGCTTGCGGCCGAAGTAGCTAGAAGCTGCGCTACATTGTCCCATAACCAATTCCAAGCAACCTCATACTGGGTGTCCCATTCCTGCGCCACTTCACAAGGCTTTCAGTTGGCTAAAAGTATCTATATATACTGCTTCTTCACCGATTACGATATCTGTTCCTGCATGGATACATACTGTATTGCATGTTTCATGTTTCCATTAAATTCCATTAAATTCCATCAAGTTCTCATCAAGTTCCATCTACCTTACGCCGCACGGCTGGAGGTAAGCGATCCCTGAGGCCATGAAATGACCGGCCTTCGGAAGTAGAGACCGCAACGAGGCCAGCATGCAGGACTTGAATTGCGATAGGTTGGGTGCCTTGAAGCATCAAAAGCATCAAATTGATTCGATTTACACAGATCTCGTCATCTCATCACGAAAAAGAAACGCCAACTCACAGAAACTCGGAGAATCCTTACTTCATGTCTCAAATTGTCTCAATAGACATCACATCGCATCACTACAAGACTGCTGAGGCATCGCCTGGGATCCTGAGGACCACACTGGACCCTTCGTGACCTGGAGCAAGACTGCGGCTGAAGGTCCCCATAGTCCCCATTCCATAGTAGCCATAGCATGTCCCGCAACGCTGCAACATCTGTAACAAGGCCAACTCTCGACAAAACTGACAAAACACTTGAGGGTCATCTCTGTCACCTCCCCAAATATAAACCAGTCAAGATTGAGACAGTTAACTAGAAAAGCCCTCACCCTCTTCCTACCCAAGACCCCAAAACGGCTTGCCTTATCAATTCGAAGGGATAGCAAATCGCACTCCTCATGCAATCGCAAGGAGTCGCAGGCATTCACGACAATATCGCCGAAGGAGTTCAAGATTTGATCCATCCTCAGGAATCCCATCCGCCAGTGCGACAATTCCAATACTGAAACGTATCCAAAACATTCCAAAACAACCAATCCAAGACTGGACAGGAAATGAGAACCGCAAGGGATACGAGACATACATTGCTGCAAAGAGGCCAGCCACCAGTGCCAAAGCCCATCACTTGCGCGTTGAATCTAAACATGTCCTGACAAGGCGCAATTGCTCGCATCTCAGCGAGTGGCTGCACTCCAATGTGGAAGTCACAGCAGGTCTCTTTTTGAGCTCTCTTTGCTCTGACAACGCAACCAGGGTGCAGAAAACGTCATAGGAACCACCATTGATTTTGTGGTTGCTCCAGCCGGGGTGCCTTGTGCAAACTTCTGGTTGGGTCATTCAATGTGACATCACTGCATCTGCAGGTCTTTCCAAACAACTTCAATATTGTTTGATATTTTAATATATTTTTTAATATATTTTAATATATTTTATGTATCTGTCGGAGCTGAGGGACAGCATGGGACAGCAGTCCCAGTCCGGGCAGTCGGAATTCGGTGGCAAGCAACTGAGTGCGGGCGAGGAACGCTCCCCGTTGTGTGTTTCGGCAGGGGTCTTCTTGGAAAGAACACGCTCCTTTCCATCAAACGCAACAAGCGCAACAAGATCTCATGTCTCGGTTGCAAAGTGGTCCTTGATGGTAGTCGTTGTCGACCTACTTATGGCGTTCGTATTTTGACCTGACAGCACCAGCACCCTTCGACGCACCGCAGATGAAAACAAAAGCAGCAAGTGAGGGCACCTCGCACCTGCCGCCAGACTGCAGCCACAAAAACACAGCACCCGGCCTCCACCACCCCAACGGCAGAGCCGCGCACAGCAGCCCTACCAGGTGGATCGGTTTCCCAAGCGTAGAATAGTGACAACCACGAAGCGCAAAGTGTATATATTCACGTCCATTATATATCATTATATAATTATATATTCTTATTCGGATACATGCAGCGCCATGCTCCACGTGATGGTGTGACACGCACCAACCAAGACATTCTGCCGATTTTTCATGTAAGCAAAAGTATGTGTGACCAGTGCTGCTCCAGTTCTGCATCTAGTTTGATACCTTCAGGCATGCCTTGAGATCTAACTTGCCTTCCGTACATAGCCCAAAGGCATTGTTGCATGTTGCAATAATAGTGTTATCGCATGAGTCTCTGTGAGTCTTGCCTTCTCGTTCTGCTCATCTTTTGTTTTTGTTTTCTTATTCGTCATGGCAGAAAATGGGCTGACCACATCTTCCTTGGCCGAAACAGACAGCTACAGCCAAGACTCCTGCCGCAACATGGCCACAGGAAATCACAGTGCCACTGCATACGAGCAGCCTCGTCAGATTCGTCAAGCTCATCCTCCTCCTCCTGCGAATTTCCGCAAGTTCTCCACCGGTTCTCTCAAATGATTGGATTCTACGGTCAATGTTTGAATAGCTGCTGGTGCCCACTTTTTGCGTCGCTTTGCCGCCAATATTCTGTACAGGACACGCATGAGCAATGGTGCCCATGGGCTCACACACGGCCATAGAGGAAGCATTTACTGAAAAAGATCTGTACATTTTGCCTCGTTGCACTTCATGTTGGACCACCCGTCAGTATCTGCCTGAACCTCTCGTCATCGTAGTCGATGCTGATCCAGGTGTTGGTACCCGTTTGCAGGACAGAGCCCCAACCCTGACGATCGTTGAAAACATGAACCTCTCGGAAACTACAGACAGTTTCATCGATCACTGCAGCCATAGCTAGGGGATCATGCAGTTTCTTGCCGTCCCCGCGTTGGTACTTGTCCATAGCCGAGCACAACCTGAAGCTGCTTCAAGGCAGACACTGGGGGCAGAATGAAGAAAATGAACATCGGGAACTGCAGTGATTACTCCCATGTGAGAATTGCTCTTGTCTCTCGGACGATGATTTGGGCGAGGAGGAGAATTAGCATGAGGAGGAGGATGTAGAATATGATGTTTAAGGGAGAATTAATTACACAATGTATATATACCTCTCTAGAACTATTTCAACAGTTCACATGCTGCCCATTGCGGCCATTGCGCATACTTCCACCAGTCAAAGTCACAGTTTGAGGGCTGTAGCCCGCGTGGTTGATGCTTCCGACTGTTCCAACGCATGTAGAAATGCCTGGTGGAAGCGACCGTCATAGACTGCCTTGGTTGATAATCCATAAGCACAACATACTCAGGCAACTTCGTATGACAATCGCACAACATCCTGCGGTCGTGCCAAGACGCTCGGTGGCAAACATTCTTCGAGACTAGAACTTTGCGCGCAATGGCGTGGCTGGCCAAGGCAGCTTCAGCTGCTGGCTTGTTGCCTGAGTTTAGAAACCTACAGCACAACTCACTCAGCAAACCTCACAAAATTCTATCAGCTGCAAGAGTAAAAATGGCAAAGGTGGAGTCTACCACCCGTTTATCTGAGACCTCTACCACCAAAGTTCCATGTCTGACACGTTCGCTTGCCAGCAAACTTCCTCAGGTGCGAACGAGTGGCCAGAACGTCTGGAGATTACTGTGCAGAAGCCCTCCTTGCACCATGTTGACCCTGCTCGAGTAATAAACAAAGTCGAGCTCTTGCTCTACATAGTTACATAGTCATAGTTGAGGACAGCATGCAATGATCTATGAAAATGAATGGTTCTTCTCTGAAGCTTCAAGGAATCTCAAGGTAACAAAAAGTCTGATCATCATGGAAACAGGTCGCTCAAAGAATTAAACGATGTTCCAAAGATGTTCAAGGAGAAGAAGGGCGAATGCATGTTAAAAAATCGAGAAGGATTCCGTGCAAAAGTATGACCATGTAAATGTGAGCCTCGCAAGTCTTAAGAAAGATCGTGCAATATCATAGAAGCTCTGGAAGCGGGTATCCGCATCATTTGGCCAGCCTTACCACTAGCGGTCACTAGCACTGGTTCCAATTGCCACTTTCGGGAGTGCGTCTTCGCTAAAATCATCCATCATCATCCATCATCATCCATCATCATCCATCATCATCCATCATCCATGTTCTTATCATCCATGTTCCAATATGTTCTAATGATTCTATTCTCGTTGCGTTGTTGCAGGACACACAGGACACACAGGACACACAGGACATGATGTGCTGCTGCTGGGTTTCTCCATCTGCAACTCACTGGGCACCACTCCTTCACCTGCGAATCCTCCTTGTGCAACCCATCGGCCCAGACCGAAGTTGGGCAGTTCTAAGGCATGGCCCAAGTTGTGCAACGGACCTTGCGTCACTTGAATCAGGACCTCCCAAGTGACCTATGGATACCTATGGACTGTCTATGGATACCTATGGAAAATATGTAGATCAAACATGACCAGACATGACCAGACCAGCAGCCTCGCCTAGTCTTCTCCCATACCATGCACTTTTCATTTGTTCATGGCGGTTCAAGCTGAATGGCTGAATGGCCTACTAATTGCCATGTGTGGTGCATAAGATGGCCCAAATGTTTTCAGTCCAGAGGAGTCATCGCTCAACGAGCCTCCAGTCAGAAGCGTCGTGTCTTCGTCACAGCACTCCAGAAGCACTTGCGCAGCTGTTTCGATGCCTCGAGCCGAGGTCCAAAAGCATTGGTGAGAGAAGCACAGCTCGGCAAGAGCCCGGTTTTACCACATGTGGCATGCTGCAGAATGAAACATTTCTACAGTATATTGCAGTATATACTTATAAGTATATGATATATATATATACACACACACCATTCCGAAAGCCAAATGTTCAAAAGATTTCAACCGTGCTATCATTTGCTTTCCTTGAAACGTCTATCCTTTTGACGGAGCTTGGGAGGCCTTTGATCGAATCCTCTGGCATTCGCCCGAAGCTGTCGTAGAATTTGCCCCGCATGCATTTCTTCTCGGCATTTTTGGGCCACTCTTGAGCGCCTACACGAACGCCTGAGAGCTTCAGCTCCTGCAAAATCCAGAGGACCAAGGAAATCTGGTCCAGCGATCCTGGAGTAATGGTCACCTTGGGCCACTGCGTGGATCAAATGCCGCCAGAATGTGCCAGGCATCTGAATAGCTTGCATCACTTTCTGCCGACCCTGGCCCTAGACGGTGTAGTGTGGTCACGTGTTTGAGTATGTCATATTTGCATATATTTGCTTGAGGTGGTATGTCGATGTACAGTGATGCTGTTTCTTCAGGTCCGAAAGTCACCAAGACTAAGTTCCGTCCAGCGTCCGCACACAGCTGCACTCTCGGGTGTGATGCCAAAATTAGCAGCGTCAACACATCGTCTGGATCGCCCGTCTCCATATCAAAAACCACCTGCAGCACGTGAGGATTCAGTGCTTCTGTCACGAGAATGATTTCTGTTAACATGGCCTGCCTTCATTGGCAGTTCTGCATCACCGGCAGGCATGGCACCTGCCCCAAGAACTGAGCGATGTCAAATCTCAGAAAAGGTCCCAAAGGATAGCGCATCGCAACTCAAAACATGCCACGTTCTGCCTGATGCATAGCCGCGGACAGACGTTGCAAGTTGCTGAGTCTCACCAGATCGGGCTGATGCAGTCGCTGGTGTGCGTTGCCATCTGCGCTTTGGAGGACCTCGGTTGTGAGAATGCTGGACTCAGCGTGACATGGACTGTGAGCATGACATGGTGATCATGGTTGACTGATGGAATCTATGGACATCAAGTGGCATCAAAGCACTCCCAGAGCTGCATGAACTGAGACGGACTGAGACGGATTCAGTTTATGCATGTCCCCCTCGTCCAACCTTGTCCCACCTTGTCCCTTCAAGAAAACCCGAGGCCCATGCCATCGGGGCCAACGGGGCCAACGGGGCCAACGGCGCCATCGGGGCCATCTTCCATGATTTTCTGTTGCGCTTTGCCCGTCACTACTCAAGTGCTGAAGGCTGAAAGCCCAAGCGACGGGCCAACTTTGAAGGTTTTGAAGTGGCCCAGTTGACCCTGCCTTTGGAATCTTTGAAAGTAATGCATTTGGCACACTGATGCTTCTACTGATGGAGTACCTTCGGATCTTTTGTCATCATAGACATCGGAAAATAAAAGACACACGCCTGTATACACTAAGAGAAGGATCATTGACGACTCGTCCAATTAAAATTCTCTTCCACATGCTTGGGCATGCAGCAAGAAAGGGTCACAAATCAACTCTGCGATCTCTTCAAGAAATCCAACAAAAAAATGATAAACCTTGCGAGTTCTCGATGGAATGTGTCCTCTACTGCTGCAGCCTCCTCGGCTTCCTTTGCCTTCCTTGCAAGCATGACGGACTGGCTGACTAGCCCATCTAAACGATCTACCAAAGTCAAAAGAAGAGAAACGAAGGGAAACGAAGAGAAACGAAGGGAAACAAGGGGAAATGAAGGGAACGAATGGAAACGAAAGGAAACCAAAGGAAACCAAAGGATTTGGCGTATGAATGTGTATGAAGAGTAGATGATAGGCCTGATAGGCTTTGTAGGCTTAAACTGGAAGCTCAACAAATATGCAACGTGCATGCATCCTGCCTTTCGGCTTCCTCCTTTTTCTTGTCACTATTCACCTCAGCCCAAAGATGCAAGTCGAAGTGGGCCCAAGTCACCGTCAGATCCAATGAGCATGAGCAATGTTGCAACATGTTGGCTTGCAACCTTGTTGGAAGCGAGTCAGCGAGTCGTACAGCGAGTCGTATAGTGCGAGTCGTACAGTGCGAGTCGTACAGCTCCCGGCCTTGGCCCAACTTTCACGAAGGATTTTCAGGCGCTCGGCGAAAGAGGTCTTCACGTAGATACTCGCCTCAGCGATGACAGCACTGTATGGCACTGTGGCACTATGTTCTACCATGAATCTACCATGAGTCTACTACGTTACTGTGTGCTAATGACGTCGACACCGGTTCGGTGGTTTCTCTGTGTCTTGCAGTGAGTGGGCCATTCTGAATTCTGACGAGATGCCCCTCCGATCCAGCCGAAGAGGGCCATGAATCCCAGACGAGCCTGAGAGTGGCTCCACTGTTCACACTGAAGTTGTGCGCCTCCCTAGAAGAAAATGATGCACTAAACAACAGGAGGCTGCGTGATTCCCACACCTCATCTGTGAGAGAATCGCCCAGCTCTATCTTCAAACAGTCAACAAGAGCCTCAGCAACTTGTGCAGAAACGTCTGGCATACGGAAAAAAAACACCGTCGTCGTCTTAGGTTTCAAGTGTTTCAAGGCAGCGGCATCTCTGAAAATCATCGCCCGTGGGACTGTTACCTGGCTTTGTCTCTGATGTTTTCAGTCCTCTGAACGGCCAAACAGAAGAGCAAAGAGAACTTCATGTTTCGGAAAAGAGATTAGAGTTTGGAAGGCATCACATGCACTAGCCTCGAAGTTCAAATGGCCTTGGCATCGCTCACACTGGGTGCGTAGGCTGGGCCCCATGAGAAACCCACATTAGGTGCTGGCTGTACTCCGGACATCTCTGGACTGACTGATGACTGATGACCCAGGTGCCGCACGAAAAGCAAGTGATTCTGCCATTTGTTTGAGCTCTTTGGCCTTGTGCACATTGTCAACCTGGGATGCTCTATACCCGGGTCAGCAATGACGATGCCCCCACCAGTTCTTCTTTGGAAAGTCACGGAAGTGGCCTGAAGTGGTAGTAGGGCTGAAGAGATGTGCAAATAGTATTGAATCTGAATAGGCAGATCGGTGGTGTGCAAGCAGGCCTTTACACCGGGTATCTCATACTGTATCACTTCCCCTCAAAGTACCACCCCACCACAATCTGGCGTACGAACCCACCCCAGCCAAGTCAAGCATAGTTAAGCCAGTTGAGCTGCTAAATTCTGAAACTCGTCAAGGAAGCGCGGTGCCTGGATGACCTGACGAAGTCACATTCAAAAATTCCGATGTTTGGCTTGTGGTGGTCGTGGCAGAACATCTGCCTGTGGTGTCTTGAAAAGGCTCTTCAGGGAGGGCACGCTTTCGTACACGACTCGGTACCTCAGAATGGAGACTGCAAATGACAACCCCTCAGCAATCAGCAGCAATCAGTTCGATGACTACGAAGATATTCATCTGCATGTTGGTGGCGTGTCTAACACTGTCTGCATGCCATTGACCATTCATCAACTGAACCAGACATGCTTCAGGATGAGAACCACTGGACAAGTGCAGTGATTTCCCAATGCGTCCGAATTTCAAGGCCTGTGGCTGCAAATTAATGCGCCTCCCTCCCCCAAAAAAAACGCGCACACACACACACATTACATGTGTCACATGTACCTTTAAAATCAAAGCCGGAAAAAAAACACCGCAAAATTCAAGGCTGTGGCAGGCAGATTCCACACGAGTCTGTGGTATCAAAGCTGGCCACAAATTGTCGCCAAGCCTCCGGAGGATTGCATATTTTCTTTGTTTTGTGTCTGATGACGCTGAAATATACTTCAGGATGTTCTGTTATCCAACTTGTCCAAAAAAAAACAACTCGAATGTATTGCTTTCGATCTCTGGAATTGATGGCAATGATAGCCCTGCAATAACATGCGAACTCATGCGATACACGCCTTTTGCATGGCAATGGTTGTCTCCTTCGAGAGCCGAAGTTCATCAAAGGACACAACGTTGATCCTTGGTCTCGTATGGTCTCGTGCTGCATCGGAATCCGGGGGAAATCGGAGAAATCGGCTACTTTGACAGTTTTGCTTCGAGATTTCCAGCTTTTGCACAGGCTTGCAGTGGCTTGCAGATGCTTGCAGTCCTTTATCGTCCTTTTGTAATCCTTTTGTTGTTATTTCGAAATTTCCAAACGCAGGCATTTGAACAAACGGCTATACAAGCGGCTCTTCTGCAGCATCTTCGGCCTGAGGCCATCTCAGCAAATTCAATTTGCCAGAAAAAATAAGCAACAATGTGATAACAAACTCCTTCAAAGTGTTCTTCTTTTTGATTTGGGCTGCATTCCAAGACAGTAAGCTCCTGACATTGAAATTCGAGGTTACACCCTCGGCTTCGCTCCTTGGACTGAGTCTACTGAGTCTACTGAGTCTACTGAGTCTACTGAGTCTGCTCTGGCGTGAAAAGTCACACACGGCTTTGGCTCAGACATTGACTTCGTCTTTATCTTCTCTAGTGACTCTAGTGCTTTGTCGCGGTGCATCCAAGCTTCGTAATGCTAACACCTTCACCGTCGTCATCAAGTCCCATCAATCGAAGCCCTGAGTGACTGCAGCTCTTGCCAACATATTCACGACATTTCACGACCTACTGGCCTACTGTGACAGCGCAGTGATCCCAAGCCGAGCAGCGCTTCTTGAGGTTGAAGGCATTTAAAGATTGTTTCTGGGCCCACTACGACAATCTTGAGCCCAGGTGCTTCGACGTGTCCGTGCTACTTGCTAAGAACTCCATTCCCCTCTGCAAATTTGTTAAACCCAGACTCATGCCACGGTACGACCATACATCTTGTGCATTTACATAATACGTATTCATGCAATTCCATTTGTGGCATCGTTCTATGCCTCCGAAATCATTGCATTACTTGATCAACGGCGCAAATGAACCTGAAACACACTACCAGACTCTAGAAATCTCATGTTGTTCCACAGTGCTGAAAGTATCAACGGCCCAAGTCAGTCGAGTCCCTGATGCCCTAGGCGGCCCTAGCACATCTGGCGCAGGAATCGGAGAAGGGTGTCGCCTGGATCCGATGTCGCTCAGTTGAATCAGTTGGTCCATCTCGGTGGTGACTGCATGGTCCAGCTGGAGTCCAGCTATGTCCAGCTTAAGCTGCAGCTGTTCGCCGTGTTTCTGAAAGAGTTTTCTCGGCCTCAGAGGTGGAAGGGAGGGAACAGATCCAGCAGTAGGACCGACTGCACCTGCACCTTCTGTGTCTCCTGAAAGATTCAAGGATCTGGAAGGCAATCAATGGCCGCAGTGGGAATTTCCCTTTCAAAGTTTACTCAGGGGCTCTGCGTGTTTTAGTCCTTTGGTCTTTTCACCACTCTTCTTTCCACTTGCAGGCCTTGGCTTCGCATCTGAGCACACATGATCGGGATTTCAGCGGCCCGCTTTGGACTCCACTTGTATTGGATGATATGAGAGGCGCGCTGCATATCCTTAAAGGGTTCCGGATGATTTTTGGCGTGGTTTCGTAATATGGTCACTGATCTTGAGACAGCAATTGAGATTTCCACCGCGGCTTGGCGGCATGATGCGAAGACGCAGCCGAAGGGTGAGGCCTCAGTCACACAAGGAACTGGCGTTGTGCTCTTGCAACCCTCCGGCACACTGTCTAGCCTACGGTAGGGAAAAAGCTTCATAATGGTTGCTCCATGTTGCTCCCGTATTCATATTCCCCACAGTTCCCCAAAATCCCCTGACCCAGCTTTTGCAAATGCTCCAAGGACTCAGGCTGTCCAGCTGCCTGGAAGGGGGCCAACAAACTGCACAGAAACGCTGAGGTATCACGGGTATCACCTTAGAATGTCGCACCCTAAACCTCGCTTTTCTCCGTTTCAAAGCTCAGCAGTTCTGCTGAGTGCCTACTCACATCTGTAATCCGTGACTGTGAATTCTGACACGGAGCAAGCCTTCGCAAGTGCCAATTGATACAGTAATCCTAGCTTTGAACATCGTTGAACTGGTTCCAAAACGCCAACCCAGATGACAAACATCAAATCCAGGGCCAAGCACTTTCGAGACGGGTGAAATGGTGAGACTTGCGGTGATACTTTTCGGCATCCAATCTTTTCATCATTGGTTCGTCATCGGTTTTTCAACTGCCTGGCTCGGATCGTCAAGTTCGGTGCCTTTGAATTGCTGCGCTTCAGTGGCGCAGCTTGTGCTGGCCAATAGTAGCTTTGATGCTTCAGCGCATTGCGGTTGAAACACCACAGGAGAGCTTCTCTCAGCATAGATGCGCTGATAGGCTGGAAAACCACAAAGCTGCAGCTTTGACGCACTAAGTCAGGCAAATCCCGCTCCTGTGACAGCACTATGATAGGCAAGTTCCCATACTGCGGATCTGCACGGATTGTTTTCACAAGGCCTTCTACTTCAAGATCAGCCTTGCTCAAATCCACCAGGAGAGCGTGGAAGACTTCTTTGCCTTGAAGGCGTTTCCACAAGTCTGCCGTGGAACAGGTGAAGCAAATGGACATCTCGTTGACTGCACACATCAGACTTCGCAAAATGGACTTCCGTACGTCAGACTGGTCAGTAAGGATAAGAACTGATCTTCCATCCACAGCCTTGTGGAAAGCCTTCATCAAGCGCTGGGCTTGGATCTTCTTGTCATCTTTGTCTCGCGGTGCCTGTGGTGAGGGTGCTTGCTGCTTTTGCACCTCATCACTAGGCTCTACAAGGCTAATGGACTCAGAAGGAGAGGCTTTCCACTCGATGGTGGTGGACATCTCAGACAGCTCTTCTGACTTTCCTTCCTTGCTGTTACCCGTGCTTCCCGGGTTCGCCTTTTTGATGCTTGGCAGACTTGCGACTGGCAAAGATGAGGTCTTCACTACTGTGGGTTTGCTGGGTTTTCGTTCCTCCACCACCTCGGTCTGGAAGAAAACACCACCGGCTGGAGCTGAAGCTGAATGAGGCAAAGCCAACGGTGCAGTCAGTGCACTCAGTGCACTCAGTTCAGGCTCAATCTGAGGCAATTGAGGCAAGACATCCTGATACCGAGCATTTGCTGGAACTGTTTGCCCAATGGGATTGCTCCGCGTTCGCCATTTGGAACCACCTCTCTTGCGTCGAAAGCTGGACCTGTGCTCCTTGAGAGCTGCAGGATCCGAATAGATACGACGCATCATCTCCACGCCAGGCCCAAAGGTGGGAGAACTGTAACTTGTGCCCAAGCTTTCCAGCACACAGAGCGAGCTAGGATTCCTCATGCCACAGGATTTACAGGATCGATAAAAAATGGTAGAAACAGGATCATCATCAAAACTCTCCAGACTTTAAACCAAGCATCTTATCATTTGGCGGTAGCCTGCGATGATCCAGCACTACTTGCAAAAAGTCATCCACATCCTGCGCGAGCAGCAAATAGGACATTCGTTGGGCATGCCTAGAGTCTAGAGAAAGTGTGGTGCTGTGGGACAAGGTTGTGTGATCGAAGATTCTGCAATTAATGACATCTACATTTACATCACCACATATACTAAAGCTCATCCGTTATGCATGAAGATAGCAGCGAGCATCAAGAGTTTGGCCAATCAGCTAATCCAAACACTAGACATCTTCCCTTTGATGGTACAACTTGGGTCAACTTCGTAATAACAAGCCCTCAACGGTCTGCAGGGGCAGAGCCTCGAGTTCGATAGCTGGGGGCGCGCCGCTGCTGGCAGGTAGCCGCACTACCTGCTTTTCCACAGCCCAATGCTCTCGCTCTCGTTGCTCTCGACGTTTCTGCAACTTTTCGAGCCTCGGAGCGATGTTGGGGTCTATTGAGTCTACTGGGGGTACAAATAAGAGGATGAATCATGAGAGGATGCCTGGAGCAGTCGAGTAGTCCGGATATCGGTTTGTCTTGCAACGTTTGAAACAAGATGGCCAATTAGGATGGGAATGGAATGAAGATATATATACAGTATATATATATATATATATGGAGATACATCTGAGAAGCCCAATGCTGACGCCAAGAAACTGCTTCAGGGCAGCTGGGCTGGCGCCTGAGAGTGCTGCATTCGCCATGGCATTGAGGCGATGCGCAGCTCACAACATACCAGTCTTGCGCAGCTCTTGAACCATTCTCAAACCTGCAAGGCCTGCCAGGTGCAAAATGGTCTGGTAGCACGGTAGCACAACACCGCCACGCGACCCATGCCTTCACTGCCTTCCTAGCACCGGGCAATTCACAGAGATTCAAAGCGGCCTCGACGCCCAGAGCCTTGGTGAGCTCCCGCCGGACCTCATTTCCACAGCATTCCAAACCCCTTCCCGCAACCTTCAGCAATCAGCGATCAGACAGAGTTGAGACAAATCAAATTTCAAAAAATAATATGGAAAAATATGGGGAAAAAATGATACGTCCATCACCTTCCATCTTGAGATACTACTGGCAAGGATGACCTCTGCAATGATGTTTCTCCGGGGGAAGATGAAGACGGCTGAACGCCATGCAGGCTGATGGGGCATTTGCCGACACGCTGCCTGCCCTGTCTGGAAAATACTGGGAGCAGGCGCACTGTGCAACCCAAGATTGCCCAATCTTCATCGAGCAAAACACGAGCAACGTGCCAGTGGCTTGTCAGCATCAATTGATTTTGTTTTTATCCAACTATTGCTTAAATACAAGAGCTAGTAATGCCCTGTAATTAATGGCTACTAATGGCCATTGATCGCTATTAATGGCTACGACTGTGTGGCAAGCCACTGCCAATTGGTGCAGTTTCAGCACCAAGCAGCTGGTGTGTGCTGTCGCTGCGAGACACCTCGCACCTTCAAAAGTGACCACCCGACGCCATATGCGACGCAATCAGTCGGGATCCTCGATCAAGTCGCCTTGAGGAGAGACATTCGGAATGTACTAAGGGCTGTACTAAGAGCCAGTTGAAAAAAACGACACGCGGACTCACCAACATGGCTTCCCAATACGTCTTGCAGCCCAAGCTGCGGATATCCAAGCCAGAGTCCAAGAAGTACCTCTCACAAATGCAGTCACCAAATGCATGGTGCATGACACGCAAAATGTGATCGCATGTGAATCCATGGTGCAGAAGCAACACAAGCTAACCGATTGATTCGGAGCACCCGCCATTTTCAATGGTCTTCTCATTCTCCGGCAAAATTGCCTTGAAGGCATTGACGTGAAGTTCCCCAAAAACACCGATGCACGTAGAATGACCAACACCCCACCAGCTCCGGCCTGATGCTCCCAAAAATCGTTCTCCGACCTCCATTGCAAAAGAAGTGAAGAGCGAGAAACAAGGATTATGTATTTGTAAATATATATATATATATACGTGTGTGTGTGTAACTATACCGGTCATCGGTGTTAAGGCTGACAAATAACAAGTTGACTCTCTTGCTCCGCCTGTTGATTTTCAACATGATGGTGTTCATTGCAGATTCCAGCTCCTGAACTCAGCAAGGCCCCAGCAGAAACACCCAATGAGAACCCTCTGGTCATCACTGTCAAGTAATGGTAATGATCTGGTAATGGTCATCATTAAATGGAGGATTTGGGCCCGCACTCTTTGCTTGGCTTCGTACTCCTCTTTGGTGGCCTGCATCTCAGGACGCTTTTGCAAGGGCTGGACGAGGGTCATGGAATCAACATAGCTCACACCCGAACATCCACGGTTTGATTTTGAGAACTTAATGCAAGAAGCAAGTCCATGATGTCTCAAAATCATTGACAATCTGTGCCCCCTTCATATCCTTCATCCTTTCAACTCTCTTTCATTCTGCACCGTTAATCTTGCTTTACACCCACGCATACCCGAAGTTTGGACCTTGGAAGCTCCAGTGTCCAGCCAAAGATCCACCTGGACATAGGATTGCAAGGCGAAACAAAGGCTGAAGCAGGGGTCATAGGTGAGGTATTATTCAATCAGACTTGTTGCCTTCTCTTGTGCTACGCACATTTCAAAGTCTTTTCGTGGGGGATAATCTTCGAGAATTAGTGTTGTAGTTATAATGCATGTGCATGTGTATATATATATATAGCTATATGTACACATATACATGTGTATATTTCTGCTGCCTCCTCCATTTTCTTCTCGAGCCGTTCTCGGTCTCGCTTCAAAATTTTCTCCTCGGAAGCAGTGAATGTCAGGGCCATCCAGACTCAACACAAGCATCAGATCACGGAAAGCTTTCATATGACGACTTTGTTCAGCTGCATGCCATACAGATGTACTAATGTACAATGTTGTGATGATACGACATGTGGCCTTCCTGCAACAGGACTGAGTGTGTAACTGCATCAATCTCTTCCAAAGCCTTTCTTGTTCTTCTCATGTAGACTGTGAGGGACTGGCGCAGTTAAACAGCCAGCATCAGGCCGCATGCCAAGCTCGAGCTAGCAGCTAGCATTGGGCTTAGGACGTGCATGGCAGTACTTGGATGAAAATCTTTCAGAATGAAATGCACACAGAAACCGTAGCCCTGGATCCTCAAGAGGGGTCATGCATTCATTCCGATGATCAAAGAGTTGAAATATGTTGAAATATGTTGAAATAGACTCACATGAGCTCACGCGGACTCACTTGGACTCAATGTTTTCGGAACCCGTTAATGACAAGCCCGAGAGCCTCTCTGGCCATCATCTCACCTCGGGCCAGATCATCTTCATCCTGACACAGCTCCAAAAAGGGGCAAATGGACCCACATGACCCACATGGCCTTGAAAATGGCACAGAAAAAGGCACGAACGACGGCCACAGAAGTCCCTTGCCTTATGGGCCTCGGCATCCTTGAGCATTCGCTCGATTTCGTGCTGCGACAAGCGGCCTGAAGCAGCGGTTTCAGGCTCCATGTCACTCAGAACATGACATGGCCAAATGCATCGCGCAAGGACATCCATGACTTGTTTAATCAAAACCATCATATATTCATTATTCCCATTGCCTTTCTCGTTGGTGATCTGAATCTCGCCCTTGCGGTGTGTCTTCATATCCTGCAGCATTTGTCGCATTCTTCATATCACAATTTGCAAATACAACTCTTCGTATATCATGTTCAATACTCTTCAGACAACATTTCAAAATATGTATAAATATGTCGTGTATCTATATGTATGTGTATGTATCAATGAATATCATTGAATTCATTGAATAATTTCATCTCCAAGCCGGGCGCCTCAGCGGTGACCTCCAAAATGCCATTGGAGTCGACATTGAAAGTCACCTGCAGCCGCTCGCGGAACAGCGAAGCGCCCGACATCTGACAGCAAAGAAACGCATCGTGGCCGGACCCCCGGACCTTGATTTTAGGAACGCCTCTCAAGGTCTTGGGGATCCCAGTGAGCACAAACTTGCCAAGGTAGTTGTTGTCCTTAAATTCCAAGCACAATTTTCCATCACTTTCCACGCCTCAGTTGGAACCAAGTTATTGCATGTCATTGCGTCAAGGTTCTTTCACCATAGCTCGCTCACCTTCGTACACCTCGGCAGTTCAGTGTTTTGAATCAACCTCATGAGGCAGTTCTGCCGCTGCGCCTTAATCTCAACATGGTCCTGGTAGTCTTCTGCAGTGGTGAAATCCTCACATCCATGAATGCCATACAGTGATGTATAGTGCACATCAGTGCACTCATTTGGATCCTTTCCATTTGGATCCATTTGGCACATCTCTGCACTATGGCACTATGGCACTATATTACAAGTTGTTGCACGGTGTTGGCCTGGCTCTTGTTGGTCGGAATGGTGCTGTTCCTCTCGATGAGTTTCTGCATCATACCACCAGCCATCTCGATACCTCGCCCAGCTCTCTGAAGCGCTGTCGTTCTATCGCTTTCATGGCCCCTGCCGCCGCTTACATTTCTCCCACGATGCAAAGATATGCAAACAAGTTGCCCAAGGACAACGGCGCCACATCCAGGAGAAGCATATTTTCAACTTCTTCCGTTCCTGCCACTGCCAGTCACACTGGACTCGGCGGAAATCAGTCACGTTGCTATCATGAAGAAATTGGTTCAGAAACTCGAAAGTAAAATGCTGCCTGTGCCAGAGACAATTGCAGCTTGAACTGCGGCCCCATAAGCCACTGCTTCATCGGGATTGATTTCCTGCATAGGCAATGTCCTAACTATGGCATTACAATAAAAAGTCAGAGCCAAGATGCTAGGAACAGTTTTGAATCTCTTGCGCGAGAGTTCAGAGGTTCCGGTATCACTGAAGTCTTTTTATATCCACTCTTGGAAGCGTACATCGGAGTCACGGGCCATGACCTTTTTCCCCAACAGCAGAATGCTTTGGGGTCTCAGCCCACATAGCCTTCGGGGTGCTCCGGGGCACTGCTCGACCCTGCCGCCTCGTTTCGCCGGTTCCGGGAACCAGGGTTCCGAGAACCGGTTCCGAACCAGGGTTCGGGGCAAGGTTCCGGGAACCCAGGGTTCCGGGAACCAGGGTTCGGGGCAAGGTTCCAGGAACCCAAGGTTCCGCAAACCAGACTTTCAAGCAAGGTTCTGGGAACAATGGGTTCTGGCTACCTTTTGGGTTCCGGGACGTCAAGGTTCCGGGAAGGTTCCGGGCACACTTGGCTTTCGACAAGGTTCCGGGAACCTTACCATGGTTTCGAGCAGCCAGAGCCTGGATTGTGCCAAAGTTCTGGAATCACCGGAACACCAATTTTGAGACATCCTGCAAACCCAGAGTTTGGGGAACCAGGATTCTGGCAAGGTTCCAGCAACACTGGGTTCCGACAAGGTTCCGAGAACCACCACAGATGCGGACCCACAGTTTGGATATACTTCCTGGATTATGCCACAGGTTCCGGACAGGGACAAGGTCAGAGTTCTGGCAAGGTTCCGAGGTTCGGGAAACAACCCAGGGGTCGGATATACGCCGTGGGTTGTACCAAGGTTCATGCTACGGACAGGGTCCCAGAAAACCAATTTGCAAGGAAACCAAGGTTCCAGGACCAAAAGGGCCCGGTCAACGAGCAATCGCTGACAGGGGGGGGCACAGCGTGACAATAAATCAGCGCGTCTCGGTTCCGGAAACCCAGGGTTCCAATATACGCTGTGGGTTGCGCCAAGGTTCCGGAAACGAGGGTTCCAGGAAGACAAGGTTCCAGGGACACAAGGTTCCAGGAACACAAGGGATTCCGGAAATCCCCCAGCCAATCTTGGGTGCTTTGTGGCCCCTCACTAAATTCCGAATTCATGTTCGTTTGCTCAGTGGGCGCACAGCGTCGGTCGACTGACCTGTTCTGATGTTGCTGTAAAATCTTCTGTTTGAACTGTTCCGATGTCGCATCTACCAAAGCACATGCCACATCAAGCAATTAAGTTCGATGCCTTGGAACACCTAAATATTGGCAGCAAACCTGTGTGAGGCTTCTCGAAGCCAGGTAGATGATTTTTTTAAAGCTAAGTGACCAAACAGCAACACACAATGAAACTTCAGACACAGTTGTGACACAACAACCAAGTATTGACATGAAACTAATTCTGGAATCATGATGGACAATTTGGCCAAAACCAACTGTTTCACCAATCACTTGCGCAAACTGACCGATGTTGTCCAAGCACGACAAGATAATCCCAAACCAACACACACACAATTTTGTAAACACTTAATGACACACCGTGGTCTGCAAATACTGCCATTCGTTTGTAACCAAATGTATGTATGTAAATTCAACTATGCGCGCTTTCTTAAAGAACATGTCTCATCCTGCCTTTGGTCCAAAAGGGGAGGGGGCAAGGCGGGCAAAAAATCGCCGAAGAGACTTAGGCTATGGAATCCTGTTCCTGCCATCATTAATCCGTCTTGGGTTGCAAAGTTGGACCACTGTTTGAAACCAACCGCTGCCGGTTCCGGGAACCAGGGTTCCGGGCAAGGTTCCGGAACTCAGGGTTCCGGGAACCAGGGTTCGGGGCAAGGTTCCAGGTTCCGCAAACCAGACTTTCAAGCAAGGTTCTGGGAACAATGGGTTCTGGCTACCTTTTGGGTTCCGGGACGTCAAGGTTCCGGGATCCCCAGGTTCTCGGCGCCAGGAAGGTTCCGGGCACACTTGGCTTTCGACAAGGTTCCGGGAACCTTACCATGGTTTCGAGCGGTTCTGGAATCACCGGAACACCAATTTTGAAACATCCTGGAAACCCAGAGTTTGGGGAACGAGGGTTCCGGCAAGGTTCCAGCAACACTGGGTTCCGACAAGGTTCCGAGAACCACCGCGGATGCGGACCCACAGTTTGGATATACTTCCTGGATTATGCCACAGGTTCCGGACAGGGACAAGGTTGCGGAACAACAATTCTCAAGAAGCCCAGCCCAGGTTCCAGAGAACCAGGGTTCTGGCAAGGTTCCGAGGTTCCGGAAACAACCCAGGGGTCGGATATACGCCGTGGGTTGTACCAAGGTTCATGCTACGGACAGGGTCCCAGAAAACCAATTTTCAAGGAAACCAAGGTTCCAGGACCATATAGGCCCTGTCAACGAGCAATCGCTGACAGGGGGGGGCACAGCGTGACAATAAATCAGCGCGTCTCGGTTCCGCAAACCCAGGGTTCCAATATACGCTGTGGGTTGTGCCAAGGTTCCGGAAACGAGGGTTCCAGGAAGACAAGGTTCCAGGAACACAAGGGATTCCGGAAATCCCCCAGCCAATCTTGGGTGCTTTGTGGCGGGTTCCGCACATGCCGATTCATGTTCGTTTGCTCAGTGGGCGCACAGCGTCGGTCGACTGACCTGTTCTGATGTTGCTGTAAAATCTTCTGTTTGAACTGTTCCGATGTCGCATCTACCAAAGCACATGCCACATCAAGCAATTAAGTTCGATGCCTTGGAACACCTAAATATTGGCAGCAAACCTGTGTGAGGCTTCTCGAAGCCAGGTAGATGTTTTTTTTAAAGCTAAGTGACCAAACAGCAACACACAATGAAACTTCAGACACAGTTGTGACACAACAACCAAGTATTGACATGAAACTAATTCTGGAATCATGATGGACAATTTGGCCAAAACCAACTGTTTCACCAATCACTTGCGCAAACTGACCGACGTTGGCCAAGCACGACAAGATAATCCCAAACCAACACACACACAATTTTGTAAACACTTAATGACACACCGTGGTCTGCAAATACTGCCATTCGTTTGTAACCAAATGTATGTAAATTCAATTATGCGCGCTTTCTTAAAGAACATGTCTCATCTTGCCTTTGGTCCAAAAGGGGACGGGGCAGGGCGGGCAAAAAATCGCCGAAGAGACTTAGGCTATGGAATCCTGTTCCTGCCATCATTAATCCGTCTTGGGTTGCAAAGTTGGACCACTGTTTGAAACCAACCGCTGTTGGGGATCTACGTCGGCTTATTTTTTTGAGGAAAGCATTCGAGCGCCTTGCAGAGATGCTTTCCATTAAAGAAGGAACTGATGAGCTCTTGGACTTTGGGGATGCCTCGGCATCAACATATTGGATCATGAACACACCAGACCTGACGAGACGACACACCACCAGCTGTTGCACAGAGTGACTATCTATATCTACAGCCTCTGCACTCGAGCAGTCTCAAGTCTGATGGCCACATGTTTTGGTTTATGAGTATACTGATGCAGTATACAGTATACCACCTGTACCTCTCAAATCGTCAATCACACAACGCTTCAACCTTGTTGTGCTACCACCATGACACTGCTCAACATGGCAACACCGTGGTTCACCTTGGTGGCTCCATCTGAGTCAATCAACACGTCATCAAAATCCAAGGCACGAGTGGAGCCACCTACAAGGACTACATCAGAAATCTTGGATTTTGGAAGGCCGCTGTCTCCCAAACACCTTGGCAAATGGTGGCAAATGGTGGCAAACGATGACTGTTCGGCTAGCAATTCATATGGCTCAGGCCCTGGCTGGGAGACAGGTTCCATTGCCTTCTTGAAGTAGTCCATGCCTGAACTTCGGCAGAAGAATCCAAACCTTAGGATACCTATGGATACCTTATGCATTATGAGAACTATGAGTCCTATGAGTCATGAATTTAAAAGCGTTTGAGGAATCGACACTGAAGCATGGCTTTAGAACATGTTGGAACTTAAAATGGGCAGCTGTTAGAGTCAAATATACTTACTTAAATATGCACGGTACTGAGTGTAACATACATGGACCACACCAACTTGACGTTGAAGATAGGGACGGGTTCAAGAAGTCAGCTTAGTGGCAGAGCTCCTCGAACTTGGCCCGAGAGAGGCGCAAGCTGAAGTCGGCGCCTTCATGCAAAGAGTCCACCCTCAAAAGCACGGCTGTGTCAGGCTATGGCAGCAGATGCAACTTGACAGTCGCCAAAATGATACTGTTTAAATCCATTGTGCAAGTGGAATCATGTTGAGTCATGTTGAATTCATGTTGAAATCAAGTTGAGTTCATGTTGAGTTCATGTTGAATTCAAGTCTAAGTGCTGAATGGGCCGAAGCATTGGCGAAATGCTGGCGCTGTGTCTGAGGCTCTGAGGCTCAGGCTCGATGGTTACCGAGGTCTGGGTGGAGAGCTGGCGCTTCGCACGCTCACACTGTGTTCTGAGGCGACGAATTGCACGTTGATTCCTCGGCCACGGAGTGTGCAACTGATGTTGTGCTGTGTCAGTGGCTGTCAGTGGCAAAAAAGGCCAAAAAGTGCTAAACAGGATTAAACAGGATCGAAAATGGTGCCAATGTTTCTTGCCAATTTCGCTACTCAATTTAGCTCCTGCACCAATGCACCAATCCTGGTGGAGAAAATCAAAAAAGGATAAAAAAGGCCTCAAAGCAGCCTGAGGGGCCGAGTTGGGTCAGATTTGTGCTTCCGTCGGAATTCTGAAATGCAATAGCTGAGCATTCCTTGGCTCGGCATGTGCACGAAGCCAAGTCGACAAGGCAGAACAGCGGTCGAAATTGGTCAAGATACATCACTCAACGGAAACTGTGTGTGTGTGTATGTATTATGTAAATTATGTATGTATAGATACTATGGACAGTTGATCAGTTGATCTAAAGCACGCTGCATCGGCTGCAGTCGAAGCTCTGTTGTCAAAGTCTTCTCCACCCAGGTGCGGATCTCCAGCCGTGGCCTTCACTTCGAAGACGGCATCGGTGATCGTCAAAATGGAGACCTCGCTTTCACAACTTTGCCACAACTTTGCCACAACTTTGCCACAACTTTGCCACAACTTTGCCACAACTTTGCCACAACTTTGCCACATGTCCAACGAGTTGTCCATCTCTACCTATATATATACATATATCTCTATAAAAAGTTCGAAGAGTTGCTGCTGAGTCACATCAAAAGTCCCTCCGCCCATGTCGAAAACCAAAATGTGAGTCTCTTTCTCCTGGTGTCAAGACCGCAGCTTAACATTTCACAGACCACTGCAGGCTCTCTTCGTCTGACACCATCAAACTGTGCAAGTTCTGGGGCTTCTTGTCACTCTTGTCATTGCCAAAAGTCTCGAACAAGGAACATGTGTCTAAATAATTCTAAATATACAAATGCCATAGCAACATCCTGCAACCAAGAATATCCTGCCTTCTTTTTGTCTTTAGATTTAGCATCCAAGCCATAGGCAATAGCAGCAGCTGTGGGCTCGTTGACTATTCTCAAAACATTCCTTGGATGCTCAATTGAAACATCTGACATTGCTGGCGGTGGGCGTAGTGAGTGCAGAGCGGGTGCACAATCCAAATGAGCTGCGAAGCTTGTGCTGTCAAGGCACAGACCAGCAATCTCACCAGCATCCTTTGTTGCTTGCCTGTGAGGCCACAGGCAAGAGTAGACTGGGGATAGCTTCGGATAGCTTCGGATGCTCAAATGCCGTTTTCCTTAATCTTGCCTCTGCGAATCGTTGAAGTATGCTGGGACTGTAATCACAGCACTTCGCACACGTTGCCCTACGAAAGCCTGCGGACTGTCATGCGAAGCAAGGAGAAAGCCGACACAAATAAGAACGTGTTCATGCAATGCACTGAATTAGCTACCAGCAGCCAGCAAAGAGAATTCGGGCAGAAATACCTTCGCACTGACATTCAACCATCTTCAACCTATCTGTGCTCTTCGTGCTTGCTTTCATCGGTGTAGTTTTCTCGGTGGCCTCCGCCGTCTGCTTCATCTTTGTCAGAATCCTTAGATCCGTCTGCAATTCCTTCGGCCAACTTTGCCCGGCATCCTATGAGTCCCACGTCAAACACCAGCAATTTCTTTGGTTTTGCACAGGTCTCTGCCAAGAGGCATGGAGGAAATTTCCTCAGGATGAAACTTTTTATCGACGCCCTGGTACACCACCTGCGTCTCCAGACTGACGTGCATTGGTATAGGGCTGTCGCAGGGAGCGTTCAGGTGGTGCATACGCCAAACAGGAAACCGAAAACTGTTCGGGATATTGGTGCCCAACAGCCTCTATACATTCTACATTGTTTCGCTCACCACTTTGCAAAGGCTACTTACTGTTGCTGAAAGGACTGTGATAAATTGAAGATAAATTGAAGGACATACCATCTTTGGACAGCAATCATAGAAATATGAACGTGACCGTGGCATCTGCACTGCCTCAATCAAAGGCTTGTCATCTGCAGAACCATCTGACACCACCTGAACAAAACCACAATCAAAGAGGTGTTGAACTTCAAATCGTCAAATCAAAGGATCTTCATCTTCCATTGAAACTTATTGAAATTTCTTGAAACTTCCCAATCTTGCCAATCTTCCCATGCTGCCGCATGGTGCGCTATGCTGCACCCGGCCTTGAAGGGCCAAAGCTTCAAATCCGCTTGGACAACTGGGTCCTGCCACATTGGCAGAGCGGAAGCGCCCAATGTCATTTCAAGAAAGAAGCATGACAAATATATATATATACACACAAACAATGACATGCACATTAAGGTAACTAAATATAGTGTATATAGCGTGTGTATGTGTATCTTTATATATATATATATATATATGTGTGTGTAATATACATGTATCCATCAAGCGCTCCTGAAACTTCCGACCGATTAGTCTCTTGGCATCGAAGACCGTGTTGGTCGGATTGCTCGCAACCTACCAGAAATTGAACTGATAACCCCCTGAACCACGAAGGATGTGCACACCATCATCGCAAGACTGTTGGGCCTGGTTCTTGGCAGCATCGCCCAAGAGTCGCTCGTTTTCCGTCCATGCAACATAAGACGGCGTCCTGAGCATGAACCATTTTGAACCTATGTCGATGCAAGCACTGCAACATGTCTAGTGCAGAAGAAGCGTCGTCCGGTTGCCCTGATCATTGGCTATGATCTGCACCTGACAATTCTCACCGCTTTGTCGAGTCTAAAGTCAACTTTAAGGGTTTGCCCCCCCAAAAAAAAAACATTGGAAGACCGCCTGCAGAGAAATTGATCCTACAGTACCAAAAAGATCCAAAAAGCACAAAGGCTCCCGGTGCCAAACATCAGATGAAAATGCGTTGAACTTCGCCTCACCGTCCTTGAAGATTCCAACACAAGAGTATGTAGTTCCAAGGTCGATTCCCATGGAATAGCTCCTCAGGAGACTTCCACAACTGACATCACCATCTCTATCCCAGATTCCCATTGAAGCCCCTGGACAGCACGTGTGTCAAGCGGCTTTTTTTCGTCATCAGCTGGAGGTCCATCCGGCATCTCGGCACAGGAAAAACGGGTCTGGTTCGACCCTGCTAGTGTGGTAACACCCGCTCCTATCACCTCAATCCGTCTTGAAAACGCTTCAACGGCCAAGGCTTACCCTTCTGCAAGAGGTTACCACGGATTGACAAGCAAAAGATATGTCAATGCTATGACAATGCGTAGCTACGAGCCAAAGGCTGCCGGACGCGCAAAAACATCAAGTATGCTGCCGGATCTGCAGGGCCAACGTTGGAGTTCTAAAGACTTGGCGCAACCCCGATAAAATCCGTTAAAATCCCCTGAGGCTTCCAACGGCCTCATTGGAAGCGATTTGAAGTGCTGTCTGTCCCCCCTTGTCCTCCGACATAAGGAGAACTCTGGAGCCACGTTTGCTCAAATACTGTGGCCCAAAATTAAGGAATCTTGCCTCTGCATTGATATCAATCTTGTTCTTCAGAAGAAGGCGAAGGGCGTTCAACTGACCTTTCGATTCAACGATTGAACATCATGGAAGGATCTGATTGAGAATTATTCAGCACTTTGTTCAGCACCCTTCATCTCAACGCCATTTGGATGAGCTCTTGCAGTTGAGCCTTCTTCAGCGGCATAATGCAAAGCTACCTGGGATCAAATAGAATCTTGATTTGTCGTTTAAATCGTCTTGAAACATCCCAATATAGTGCGATATACGATATACTTTGATAATCTGTGCATATCATCCTGCCCATCATCTCGCCATAAACCTCATCTGCGCACTAAATGCACAAATCAAAAAGCCAAACAAAGGCTGCAGCTCTGCCATAGAAGTCTCGGTGGTTTATGTCAGCGCACTGCTGCAGCAACCTGCGAGAAATAGTGTCGTGAATCTTCGTGAGGCTTCCAGCATTTCCGGGACGACTTCCTCAAAACTTCTGACAACTGTCCAGCTGAGTGTCCAGCACTTTGGTCACCTGAGCTGAGTTACTGCAGTGTGACCGCAGGGCCAAAGTTGCCGAAAAGTTCCCACACTGTCGCACAGTGTTGCCTCGCCCTGCGACTGGGGATGCGCGTTCAAAGCTGCATAGAACAACGGCGTCCTTGCTTGGCATGACAGGTCAAAAAGAGGTTGCTTCAAAGATCACCAAGAGAACTTATGCAATTCATATAATTAATATGCCTTTAAACAAACCAAATGCCGCCTTCCGTGCACATCAGCGCAAAAAACCAGCTGTGGAAATTGACCTCAGCTGCAAACAGAATAGCAACCCGGGCATTGCCCCTGGCAGCTGCCATTGCCAGTCGTTTCCATATTCAGCAAGGGCCCTCGGCTTGCCAGCAAGTCGGAGAGTGATGGGTCCTGGGTGAACAGCTTCGAACTGCTAGCAACTAGCGGCAACTAGCGGCAACTAGCAGCTACAGCCACCTCTGTTCCCAGTCAATCCAGCCTCACAGCAAGCAGCCAAATGTAGTGCATTTCGGCCATTTCGATCCTTGCAGTCACATCAAGTAGAGCAAAAGCGGCTTGGATGGTCCAGCATCAGGACCCACGTCCACAAAGTATTGCACGAACCTCTACGCAAACATCATCAATCTGTGTGTGTGTGTGCCTCCAAGTTGGGCTTGACGCCACAATCTAGCAAGAACTTGGCCGCATTCGCCTTCGTACAGCCACATTATGCCACTTTCATTTTTACAATGCCACCATTCTTGGTGGATGATGATTTTTTTTGCCAGGGCGTCGCAGAGGATTTGCCCTACATCATGGCCCTCGTCTCCCGCAAAGCAGCAGTTCATAGGCACTAACTAAGCTGGATGTATAAACATTACAACTGTAGGTCTGTTAAAGCACCTATGAAAAGAATGAATCGGTAGAATGTACAATGCCATCTATGTAAGCACACCTTTCCGTGCTCGCAGGCCAAATGAAGAGGTGAGCGACCAAAGCGGTCCAAAGCCTTGACAATCGATCTGAGATCAAAGAAATATAAACAAGATCAGGTAAACATCAACCAGTCATACAGAATATCCAAACAGCATTGTCGTTTTGCCTATGGCCTATGATGGCCTACGGCACATGGGTTGGCACTTCGCATAATTTTGTGTCGAAACTGGTGCCAAAACTTCGACCTCCAACTCACAACCGTGGTCGTGGAGGAGTTGGAGCACCTGATCGGGCTGTGTGCTGTGGCTGCTATGGTTCCCTGGAGTCACCACTGACCCGTGCTGAATTTCATGGCCGCCTCTGCATGACCTTCACGCCTCAAAGATGTGGCGGTGTGGCACAATGCGACTTGTTTTCTGATCTAGATGGCTTTCACCAAGAGCTGGCCACCGCGTATCATTGTCCACCACGTCCTGTTCAGCCTATTGGCACTGACACTCAATCGTGATAAATAATCAAATAATCAACTGCAGTCGTAGTCAAAACCAAATCTAAAGCACTTCAAATAGTCCATCGCTCATCGTGACGATAACAACCATCAGCGACAGCAACTTCAGCATTTCCATCATCATCATCATCATCATCATCATCATCATCATCATCATATCACCACCACCACCACCACCACCATCATCATCATCATCATCATCATCATTATCATCCCATCCTGCTCGGCATCACCATTTTCACATCGTTTTCATATGCATCCTCTTTTCTGCATCTGGTGAAACATATTTATGCACATCCACCCTTTTTCCCTCATAATCAGAATCGGTATCTATTCATCGGCGTTATCATCTTCATCTTCTTCATCGGCATCATCACCATCGTCGTCCTCATCATCACCAACCACATAACCAAAAAATAGTGACGTATAGAGTATGTATGCAGTGACGTGTGACATGCGGAGTAAACAGAGTAAACATGCAAACATTTTGGCAAATCCTCGATCTATTGCTCGTCAAGATTGAGGTTCTGGCGCCGCCAGGTGGGCAGCACTTCTCCTCAGCACATCCCCAGCTCTCATAGGTCCATTATGTCGTGAATGATACAAATATGCATATGTATATACACATGTATATATAGAGAGAGAGGGAAATCCTTAGCCAATTTAGCCACCTCTCTTTCTTTTGAATACTCTGAGGTCCCATCTGTTGCTGATCAGTTGCGACCATAAGTCGCCGCCGGTCTCGGCTTTCCAGCCTTGGCACTTGCATACGGCAGTGTTTCCAGGCAGAGCGCCTCTCTCAATACTCCTTTCCAACGCTAAAAAAACATGTGCATTGTATTGTGAACTGTTGGTTGCATAAGTCTGTCTTTTCATGAGCAGTTTGCCCTTTGCGGATGCGATCCACACTGCCATTGCTTGCAGCCTGCATGCAAACAGATGTAATCGATTGCCAAATTCCACTGACATTAATCACCTCACTGGCAGATGAATCTGGAAGTTCACCAAGGTGCTACCTGCAAGAACGATGACGCAACAATGCGACCGTCTGGATCAATTTCCAAGCTCCTGAGGCATGGCTTCAAAAAGTGGCAATTTCAAAAGTAACCTGCGTTACCAGAGATGCAGAATCAACATGCTACGATTGCAAGTGTTGTGAAAAACAAACAATGCAAACGTAGTTCTGACAATCATTGTTTGTATCCAACAAGCTGTCCTCATTGGTACGTCTGGCCCCCGACATGGCAATCTCGTGTTTGTTGACAATTCCATTGCAGTGTCATGCAAGGTTGATCTTCCACGTTTCACTCTTTTGAAAACATATTTCCAGCAAAATCAACTTACGAGGGTGCAACTGGTGTGCCCGGCTCGCCCTGCAAGACTAGGAACACGCAATCGGATTTGTTCATGTTGAACGCAATCATGCACTGTGCAATGCTGCAATCAGAAATGGGGCTGCGTCGAATGTTCATTGCAGTTTGGCCTCTGACGGATGGACGGACGGACAGACAGTGAGAGAGAGAGAGAGACAGCGATAGCTGGATGGATAGATGTATACATGGATACAAGGACACAAGGATAGATGGATGGATTGATAGATAGATTTATTAATGGGTTAGATAAATAAATAGATTTAGTAACTAAATAAATAAATAAATAAATAGATAAACAAATAAATAGATGGATAGGTAGGTAGACAGGTAGGTAGGTAATTGGTAGAAACACAGGTAGTGCGTTTGCGCTCTTGATTAGAATTTCTGCAAAGTTTGCACAGGTTGTTGCAACATGTTTCAGTACAATAACTGGTTTCGGATTGGTTTTTCCGGGGCGGGGGGGAACATGCCCTGGCCACAAATGATTAAACACTCATGGCCGGAACGAAGGCATGACTATCTTGCACCTTTATGTTTCGAAACACTTTCAGGAGTGTGGCCACAGGGCATGACATGACCTAGAATCTGAGCAAAAACGTTGCATTTATATTTATACAAATATTTGAATGATCAGCTCCTTAGCCACTATTGTTGCCCATGTCTTTGCAGGACCATGGTCGATTTGAATTGACTCGGAGGGAGAAAGAAAAGGAAACGATGTTTGCCAGCATTGTTTCTTGCAAACGACCTGCAGTGTGCCTAGCCAGGTTTGCAGAAGTTACAGTGATAGTAATAATGCGTGACAGACGGAATGATTGAAGAACTGAGTTGGCCACCGCAACACTGCATGATAATTGAACCCTTGAATGGTTCTTTGAACAAATCCATCTGTGAGTTTTCCATTTCTTTTCAAACACCTCCTCTTTCCGCAGCTAACTCTCTTCAACTACCTTTCCTTCGCCCTATTTTCTCTACAGTTTCTCTCTCTCAATTGTTTTGTTTCATTTTGTTCACTTGTTTTCTTTCATATGTCCTCTCCAAAGGTAAGTCTCACTACGTTGCCCCTACAAAAACGCATCCCGTGCTCCCACGGTTGTTGCTCCCGTGGTAGGCGCCAACAAAATGCTGTGGACGGTATCGATGGCAAATTAAAATTCATTCAATGTATTTCCGTGGCGATTTGCGCTACTAAGTACTGGCACTCCATTTCCACCATCAAAACCCCTTCCACTTGTCTTGATTGCGCAACCTAGGCCGTGGAAAAATTGTTTGGCGATGGGGATTGGCAGACAGAGGCGGCAAAGAATCAAGAAAAATTGAAAGATATTATCGCGGTATGCCGCGGTATGAAACTTAGAATGGGTCAAAAAGTGTAAACAATTGATTGGGGAGAACTTAGAATGCCCCCCAGTTAGAATGCCCCCTTCAAATTTGGAATGACTCAGTACCCATATGCCAAAATATTATGTGTGTACTACTTCAAAATGCTAAGGACAACCGAAGGAAAATGATCCAGAATACTAAACTGTGTGTGTGTGTGCATGTGTATCTATTTCTATCTATATGTATATTTAAAGACATAAATAAGTAAATAAATAAGTATACATATGTATATATATATGTATACACATAACAAACGCTATCGCACTACTTTTCCTTTTTTTACATCTTCATTTTTTTCCGGACATGTTTTTCATTTTTTCCCACAAATTTGCAAAAAAAAAGCGGCTACACCATTTTTCTTTGAGTTTTGGAAGGTTTTTGTTTATGTCCTTACATTTTCCTTCATTTTTGCTGAGACGTGTTGCAAAAAAAAAAGGCGGCTACATTTTTTGATCCATGATTGATGTTTTCGGCCCGTATATTTCGGAATGTTTTCTTCATGTTTCCTCACACATGTTGCAAAACAACGTGGCTACACCATTTTTCCCCAGTTTTTTATTTTTTTTATTCTGTCCTTTCATTGTTTCCATTTCTGCTGAGACGTGTTGCAAAAAAAAAACGCGGCTACACTTCTGTGGGGTCAAATGTGAAAAATTGTCGGGCATTCTATGTTTTAGGGCATCCATGATTAATTCCTCAAAAATAACAGGAAATAGAAACTTTTTTTACCATATTACATGGGTAAGTCGCGCATTCTGAATTCAACCACATATTTACATGTACACACATATACATATATACATATCGACATATCTACATATCGACATATCTACAGATATACATATATCCATATATGCATATCTACATATATACATATATACATGTACACATATATGCATATATACATATATACACATATATACATATAGACATATAGACATTTAGACATATAGACATATAGACATATATACATATATACATATATACATATATCCATATATGCATATATACATATATACATATATACAAATATACATATATACAAATATATATATGTACATATTTACATATATACATATATACATATATACATATTTACATATATACATAAATACATATATACATATATACATATATACATATATACAAATATACAAATATACATATATACATATTTACATATTTACATATATACATATAAACATATATACATATATACATGTATACATATATACATATATACATATATACATATATACATATATACATATATACATATATACCTATATACATATATACATATATACATTTATACAAATATACATATATACACATCTACACATCTACACATGTACACATATACACATATAATCATACACACATATACATATATACATATATACAAATATACAAATATACAAATATCCAAATATACAAATATACAAATATACAAATATACATATATTCATATATACATATATACATATATACATATTTACATATATACATATATACACATATGTTTACAAACAAACAAATACACATATATATATACATATATATATACATTTAAACAAATAAACAAATACACATACACATATATATATTTATTTATTTACATATATACATTTTCACATATATACATATCTACATATACACATGTATATATACATATATACTTATATACCTATAAACATATAATTATACATTTATACAGGTAAAAGGATCACTTTGGAACACACTCTCAGGCATCACTTTAGAACACAGCCATTTTGCATCACTTTAGAACACAAAATAAAACATCTCATGGAAACCCCGCCATACACACACACATCAGATTTACTGACAGGCGCGAGACTTTGGAAGAAAAACGCGTTCCAAAGCGAGACCAACACAAAAAACCTCCTCGTATGAGAATTTGACTCGTTTCAACCATGTCATAAAGTCCCACGCCTGCCACGTAAAAGGACAGTCGATGTACAAAAGTGCCACACCTGCCACGCAAAATGAAGGTCGATGTCAAAAGGTCCCACACCTGCCACAGAAAATGAAGGTGAATATATGAAACAAAAGCCTTGTTGTACTTGATGTAAGAAGAGCAACGAGACCTTTAGGATTTATATGTTGTTGCACTTGATGTAAGGACTGCCACGACACCTTTAGGGTTTACATGTTGTTGCACTTGATGTAAGGACTGCCACGACACCTTTAGGGTTTATATGTTGTTGCACTTGATGTACGGACTTCCACGACACCTTTAGGGTTTACATGTTGTTGCACTTCATGTAATAAGAGCCACGACACCTTCAGGGTTTACATCTTGTTGCACTTGATGTAAGAAGAGCCACGACATCTTTAGGGTTTACATGTTGTTGCACTTCATGTAATAAGAGCCACGACACCTTTAGGGTTTACATGTCGTTGAGGGTTTACATGTTGTTGCACTTCATGTAAGAAGAGCCACGACACCTTTAGGGTTTATATCTGGTTGCATTTAATCTAAGAAGAACCACCACACCTTTAGGGTTTATATCTTGTTCTACTTGATGTAAGGAGTGCCACGACACCTTTAGGGTTTATATCTTGTTACACTTGATGTAAGAAGAGCCACGGCACCTTTAGGGCTTATATCTTGTTGCACTAGATGTAAGAAGAGCCACGACACTTTTAGGGTTTACATCTTGTTGCACTTCATGTAAGGAGTGCCACGACACCTTTAGGGTTTAATTACATGTTGTTGCAATTCATGTAATTCATGTAACAAGAGCCAGGACACCTTTGAGGTTCTTATCTTGTTGCACTTGATGTCTTGTTGCACTTGATGTAAGAAGAGCCACGACACCTTTAGGGTTTATATCTTGTTGCACTTGATGTAAGAAGAGCCACGACATCTTTAGGGCTTATATCTTGTTGCACTTGATGTAAGGACTGCCACGAGACCTTGAGGGTTTATATGTTGTTGCACTTGATTTAAGGACTGCCACGACACCTTTAGGGTTTACATGTTGTTGCA